CTGTAAAACAGCAATTATGCTGAGTCAGGCTTGATTTTTAGTAATATTTTCCTGTGAAATCAATAAATTCTTGTTCTGTTGAACTCTATTAACCTCTTAGACTCATTTTAGTGTTTTAAAAAAGGATATAAATAAATCTCATTGTTCATCCCGGTGTCCCTGGTTAGTTGGGTTGTAATGTTTGTGGTGTTTGTGTTGCTGCCTGCAGGGTACATCCCCAGTTACCTGGACAAGGATGAGCTGTGTGTGGTGTGCGGGGACAAAGCCACAGGGTATCACTATCGCTGCATCACCTGTGAAGGCTGCAAGGTGATGTCGTCACTCAGCCAGGACACACTGCTCACTTCCTGTTCACTCACTGCTCACTTCCTGTTCACTCACTGCTCACTTCCCGGTCACTCATCCACACGTGTCCTCTGCAGGGCTTCTTCAGGAGGACCATCCAGAAGAACCTGAACCCGACCTACGCCTGTAAGTAYGAAGGGAAATGTGTCATCGACAAAGTCAGCAGAAACCAGTGCCAAGAATGTCGCTTCAAGAGGTGCATCGCCGTGGGGATGGCCACAGACCGTGAGTTTACCACACAGTCATTATTGTTGCTTTAGGACCAGTACGTCGTACATGAAGCGGTACAGAGTGTAGTACCGTGTAGTACTGCAGGTACCGTGGCCCGTTTCATTGGATCCATCTTTGGCTGCAGTGGTATTAGATGACGGAAAGAGGCTGGCCAAGCGGAAGCTGATCGAGGAGAACCGCGAGCGCCGGCGCAGGGAGGAGCTGCAGAAGACGGCCTGGGACCGCCTGGAGCCCACCCAGGAGGAGTGGGACCTGATCCGTCTGGTGACTGAGGCCCATATGGCCACCAATGCACAGGGCAACCACTGGAAGCAGAAACGAAAATTCCTGGTGAGCCCCCCTCCCTCCCCCGGCTCCCCCTCACCCCAGCCTTCATCACATTGATTTCCTCTGCCCTGTCCCCCCCACCCTCACCAGCCCCCTCACAGCCCTCTTCCCTCCACTTCCAGCACACGGTTGTTCCTCTTTTCCCTGTAGTAATATGTCCATGTGTTGTTTTTGTATCTCCATATAGAGGGAGGAGAATTAGCTGGACGGTGGAGCAAAGTGTTCCTGAACGCAGCAGCTCTAGTTTAAAATGGAAACATCTTGTCTTGTTGTTGTTTTCACAGAAACCTCACAGTCTTTCTTCTTTAAGTGTGTCTTTGTGTTTGGAGCTTTTTTAACCAGCTGCCTTCTGTTCTGTTCAGTCTAACAGCTCTGTCAGCTTCCAATGTGTCTGCTGAGCTTTAAGTGTGGCTTTCTGTGGCAGGACTCACAACAGCATCAGGTTGAACCTGTCGGTCCTGCCACAGGAACCCACTGATGTTCACTGTTTCTGATTGTTTTCTGTCTGCACTGTCATCTGTTCAGTTTAACCTGTTTTCTTTTTAGTTGACTTGACTCGGGTCCATTATTGAAACTTCACAACTCCTGTTGATTATCCAACAGGTCGAGGAAGCAATGCTTCTTAATGAAATAACATGTAATTTATTCTATACTTCTGACCAGAGTGCAGCAGGGGTGAAGGATACCAAGGTAAGAAACAGAGGCTAAAACTGCTTCGACTTCTAGAAACACACCTGCTCTGATAAAACACCTTTTCTTTAAGACTTAGACCCATTCAGAAGAAAAATCTGGTTTTCAATTTCTTGGTTTGAGGTTAAAGTGGAAAAATTGTTACCAGAAAAGTCTCTGTGTGGAGGAAAAAAGTTGTTCTTCAAGACTTAATGAGCCACATTGTGC